CCAGCCAGGAAGCTTGCTTCTCTGCCTGCAGCCCCCATAATGTCATGTTTTCCAGGCTTATGCCCCAAGCTTTGCTTTCACATTCATGAAGCCATGATTTAAGACAGCAGTGCTTAACTTTTCAACCCCGAGGGGCCAGTCCATAGCCCAGATCCCAGAGTCAGGGTCAATCTTCAGGTCTGATCCACCCACAGAGTGACCCTGCAGGGCTGTGTCATCCGGCCTGCCCAGCGTCCCGTGGGTGGCAGGGGAGAAGCTGCAGCCTTAATTGCCAGAAGCAATGGCAATAAAGGCTGCCATCACTCCCCCAGCCGCTGCCAGGTTTCTGGCCCTGTGGGAAACCCTGTGAGCCAGATGACACGGTCCATAAACCAGACTGAGCCCGGGGGCCGGAGGCTGAGCACCACCACTAAGAAATCTGCACTTGGAGCTGAGAAACGTCACAGGAGGCTACGAAAAGGACAAACGAAGAAGGTGCAGCCTTGCCACTTATGATGCAAGGAAAAGTAAGGGATAAATGGGAGAGCTTGGTCAGGGCAGGAACTAAACTGAAGAATTATATACACGGTCCAAATTTGCATGGTCTGATTTGCATTTTCATTTGAACAGTGAGGTAAATTGGACAGGGAAATCAGTAAGGCAGTAAAAATTACCTGGTATATAAGAACGAAGTAGCATCAAGATATGAAGGAGACCGATGGCCATGGGACCAGATGAGTTTTACACCCCTGCCTTAAAATATTTAAAAATTAGCAGCCTAACAGCTCTATTACCTTTCTTCAACATAAATAATGCTCAGTCTGACAGATAAGCTGTTCTGAACATTAGGGACAGGTGCTTTTAGCCTCATATTTTACTGAGTGTCCATAAATTTATGGACAGCTAGCAACTCTGCTCCAGGGCCTGGGCAGAGGAGTGGGAGGAAGAAAAGGGGGATGTTGCACTGCACCAAAGGGAGGGGAGTGACCATCTATTTTCTATTTTCTTCTATTTTATCTATGATTGAATCAAAGAGAGTAAATTATGCCTTTAAAATAAAGCGTGGAAGCCAACAACTACAGAAATAAAAAAAGACAGCTCGTGCAACCTAAACTGGCTCATTCTACATGACAACACTTAGATGATCATTACAGACTGCGCTGATAGTTACCTCCTAGGTAAAGATGCCTGGCATTTCCCATGCAACCTGCTTTTCAGCTACTCATAACTGCACCCCAAGCGTTAACCGTTCAACTTCAAGCTTTCGATGCTGGGCGCTTGCTTCAGGCCTTTTTTTTCTTTTGTGGGGGGGGAGCAGGGGAGGGAGTGATATGAGTTTCTTTTAAAACAGTTCAGGCATTTTTTTGGAACAAGGTTACAAGGGAACTACAAACCAGTTAGCCTCACATCAGTACCCAGGAAGTTACTGCAACATATCCTAAGGAAGACAACTTGCAGGCATCTGGAAGAGGAAAAGTTGATCACAAGTGTAGACAGATGGCATGAATGTATAAAAGGGTATAACCTCAAAACAGTGTGTACCCCACTGAGTTACCTTTGGCCTGTATATTGTGTTTTTCCAGCATGATGGGTAGTTTCATATTTTCATAGTAGCTGGGGTCAGGAGGGACCTGAACAGATCACCTAGCCTGCCCCCCAATGCTGGGTTCACAAGACCCCAGACAGGTGATCATCCAACCTCCTCTTGAATTTGCCCAAGGTAGGTGTGAGGACCACTTCCCTGGGAAGTTGGTTCCAGATTTTGACCACCCTAACTGTAAAATATTGCCTTCTGATCTCCAACCTAAACCTATTCTCCATCAGCTTATTACCATTGTTCCTCGTCACCCCAGGTGGTGTTGGGGAGAAAAGGGCTCTATCTATTTACTGTTGATCCCCCCCGATGAGCTTGTAGGCAGCCACCAGGTCTCCCCTCAGCCTCCTCTTGCTGAGGCTGAACAGGTTCAGGTCCCTCAGTCTCTCCTCGTAGGGCCTGTCCTGCTGCCCTCTCACCGAGCAGGTGGCCTCCTCTGAACTCTCTCCAGGCTGACCACATCCCTTTTGAAGTGCGGCGCCCAGTACTGGACGCAGTACTCCAACTGCAGCCTGACCAAAGTCACCTAGAAGGGGAGTATCACCTCTCTGGACCGGCTTGAGATGCACCTTTGGATGCATGACAAGGTCTGGCTGGCCTTGCTGGCTGCAGTCTGGCATTGGCGGCTCATGTTCATCTTGGAGTCAATAATGACTCCGAGATCCCTTTCCGTCTCCATGCTTTCAAGGAG